AAACTAATTTGATAAAGTAACTACATAACTGATTACTTAAATTGCTTAAATTACTCACTGCAACAACAACAAAAAATAATCTAATGAGTTAAAATGCATTATCCCCCACACTGTAAATAAGCAACTGTTTGCTAACAGGTTTGCTGTATCAGCTTTATCACAGGATGTTTTTAAGATGAAAATGCATTATTTTTTTTATAGAAAGAACTCCTAATTATGTATTCTTGACACACAGAGATTAGTTTTTAGGGTTTATCAATGACTGGAGAGGGAGTTTAAATCTTCTTGGGCAAACCAAAAGTTGTAAGTCTTCATAATTTGCATTTAAACAAATGGATTGCTTTTTTTTTCAAGGCATTTGAATGTTCCTCGGTTAAGGCTGTGCTATCATTTATTTTCAACTAATTGTGTTTAATTGAATTCAGGCACGGGTCCATTATTACAGAATTTTATCAGGTCTTAACTATAGACTCGAATGTTTTTGCTTTGACGCATCAGGGGAGTGAAGTTTCATGTCCAGACAAGATGAATTAATGAAAACCATGAACAAGTCTGAGCTTTTTTTATACAGAGATCAAGGGGTCGCTGATTGGTTTAAAGAGTGTAAAACTGATGTGAATCATACACTATAGCCCTCAAAGTCAACTCAGTCAAACATTAGGGAAGATTTTAAACCAAACATGTTAGACAGCGCTCTTCACCGTCATTCAGTAATTTCCCAGGCCTGGGATAAATGAAGTATTTTACTATTCTATTCTATTCTATTCTATTCTATCCTATGAAAACACGAAATCTTTAGATTAGCATAGTGGCAGTACAGTTCAAAGAGCTGAAGCAATGAAGTTCCATTTGTAAGTCAAGTCCAAGTAAGATTTCAAGATTTCAGGCCTAAAGTTTCAAATCTATCGCTCTGGATTCCGAAAAGACAAATAGAAAATATACACATCATATATTTCCTTGTGTATCGTGTCTCACACTGAATCCTGTGCTTGCGTTTCAGGGGATGTATATCAAATCAACATATGACGGACTCCACGTTATTACCGGAACTACAGAGAATGTGAGTCTTTGTTTCACTCATCCAGAAACTTGACACTCCACCAACCGCAATTTATGGTCTCATATTCCATTATGACAATGGATCCAATGCGTCAGTCTCTCCTAAATGTGTTCCCGTTCTCCTTTTCTGTCCTCCAATTTCTGCCTCTGCAGTCTCCGGCGGACCAGTGTAAGAAGATCCATGCAGGGGACGAGGTGATACAAGTCAACCACCAGACAGTGGTGAGTTAAAAAAGCTGCCAAACACAACACCGACCTCATGGAGACGCCCAGGAAATGCACTTCCCATGTGTTTCCGCTGCGCAGACATACTGCAAACTGTCCTTCGTTCTCCATTCTGTGCATTGTTGAGGAGGCGTTAAGGCACATGATGTCTGCCACCACCACCACCACCACCGCCACCGCCGCTGCCACAGCCACCTCTGCCACCATGGTGCTTCCTGTCCTGTGCCTGTGCTGCTATGTAGGCTAATTAGGCTTGCTGCTGGAGCAGATTATAGGGCGATTGTTACAAGACCTTTGTTCGGTCCAGTGTGATTGTGAGCTCACTTTTTCTGGAATTTTCCTCCCATTGTTGAGATAAACCCCCGAGGAGGAGTCTGGTTTTGAATTTCGAACCCATGTTCCACTTTTCAGACTTGAATAAGTTGGATTTCCACCTTTAACTCGTCACATCAGAGGGAAGCACAAAAACGGGCAGCCATTTTAAATGGAACGGTGCCTTGTGAGAGCATGTGATTGAGCGTGCTGCCGATTGCCTGTGCTGTCAAACAATTTGTTCCAGCGTTTATTTGAGGTTTGTGAAGGGGAGAACGAGGCTTGTGCCTGCGTCTTTTGTGTGCCTTCTCTGTAAGTATTTCCTCGTACGTCTCGATAGGTACTGCTCAAGCGAAAGTGTTCGCGCCGGCACCAGGGAGCGGCATTGATTGACACGTGAGGGAAGTTTGTGTTATCTCGCTCCCTCTCTCTCTCCTCGAGGTAACAGTGCAGATCGCACCCTGCCAGGCTCACAGCTCCAACCCTTCATTACTCCCTCAGCTAGACCCTCACCACTCTGATCCCTCACTCTGGGGGAGGAGATAAGCAGGGGGAGACGGAGGTGTGAGCGCACGGTGCTGGAAGTGGGCTGAGGCAGAGCTGGGAGAGTGGGGCAACAAGGGAGGACTTAGGGAGAAGAGGAAGCAGATAAAAAGGGGGAAAAGAGGGAGAACAGCAAAGGATGCCTGGAAAAGTTCTCGGCCTTACCCAGAAACAAGAGGCGTAGCTCCCATTTTGGGGCATAATTGTACACTATAAAACCTTTTATCACCATCCATCCATCCATCCATTTTCGTCAGCTTATCCGGGGGCAGCAGATGAAGCAGGTCATTCCTGATGTCCCTGTCCCTGACAACACATTCCTGTTCTTCCTGGGGGATCCCAAGGCGTTCCAAGGCCAGATGAGATATACAATCCATCCAGCAAGTTCTGGGTCTACCCGGTGGTCTCCTTCCAGGCAGACATGCTCTGGAAACCTCCAAAGGAAGTCTTGGGGGCATCGGAATCAAAGGAGCAGTGACTCTACTCCGAGCTCCCGGATGTCCGACCTTCTCACCCGATCTCAAAGGCTGAGCCCAAGAATGGAGGAAACTCATTTTGACCCCGAAATGACGTTCCCCGAAAGGGTGGCCTTTTATCACTGTCCACAAAAACTCAAATGTTGGCCCTCATTTCTTTGCAGGTGATGTCCTTTGATATTGAGTAGATCGTAAGGAAACCAAAAAATGGATAAGAAAAGAGTCAGCGCTGTGATCAAGTATCTGCATTAAATGGGAATGACTCACGAAGACATCGTCAACGCACTTGGTAAGGGCAGTCCCTTGCTATTTAGCCGTAAAGAAGTGAGTTGTTCATTTCTAGCTGGTTCTAGAGCACTGAAGATGACCCATGGTTGGACGCCCAAAATTAGCGACCACGGACAATCAGAGGGAGGCCAATTCCCCACATGGTCATGAATGACAGACATGTGACTGTCCAACATGTCGATTTTTTGGTTTCCCTTTCATCTACTGATTTTTCAAAGGGCGTCACCTGCAAAGAAATGACGACAAAACATTGGACTTATCGTTAACAGCAATATAAGGCTGTATAGTACGCAGTTATGCCCCAAAATGGGAATCATGTCCCTCGTTTCCAGGTGAGGCTGAGAGCTTTTTGAAGTACCATCGCAGCTCCCAAACTGAGCTGCCGAGGAGGAAAGATGGATACGCACTACCAGCAGAGTCTCTGTCAACATCTCAGCTGATAAGTTTATCTCGTCAGGCTTCGAATTTAAAAATTAGATTAGCGTGAAGACTGAACGAACAAATTCCATTACATTATGGAATCATTATGTAGGCCTATCCCACGTATTAAACAACAGCGCTGCCTTCATGTCTATGCATGAGCTTTGTTTGAGACCCACTTCAAAACAGGACTTGCAGTTTTTAGCTCAGCTCCTCTTCTGAGGTAAAATGTGGAATTTGCTCAAATAACAAACTGATTGTTTGAAGAGGCAACATAATTATGTGGAGGTAATAGCATCTGGGAAAATAATGAAGACCCCTGGGATTTGAAAAAGCTCTCCAGCAGCAGTTTATGCTCTATTATTATTTTTGGTAGGTCTCTCCCTGTTTCCCTTTGCTCCCTGTGTATTTGCATAACAGAACAGCTCTTAACTGGGCTGGTTAAGACTGACTTTTGTGTTTGCTCTTAATGTACATTCTCAGCTGACCACAATTGTTGTGGATAAAACAACAGTCGAGAAGTTTACCTTGATCGGGGTTCAGTTCAGTTCACTGTCTCTCCAGTTAATTCAGGAGTTCCCCTCCCTGTGGAATAAAAAATACGCTTGTTTACTTTCTTACTGAGAGTTAGATGAGGAGATTGACAGCACCTTCTCATCTATCCGTTCAACTTGAAACCGCAGCCGGGAGAGGATTAGCTTAGCATAGAGGTTAGAAGCAGGGGGACAACGCTTTCCTCAACAGACAGGATATAATGTGGTAATTAGAAAGCTTTTGCGGTATAGTAGAAAGATTTTTTTACCTTATGACAGACCTGTTTCTCCATCTCCTGCTCTCAGGTGGAGTCACTGTTAGTTAGAGAGGATGTTTCAAACAACAGAAGTTAACCCAAAATGCTTTCCTATTGAGACAGCAGATTAACATTACAAATTCACCTCTCTAATTTAAATGTAAAGGTCAAGTAGGGAGAAACACAACAACTCTCTTTAAGCAAGCACCTGACAGCAGTGAAGAGGAAGAACTTCCTCCAGCAGAACCAGGCTCAGTGAGGGCGGCCTTCTGCCTTGACTGGTTTGGGTAAGGGGACAAACAACAAACAAGAAAACAATGAACACACAGCCAGTAACCGTGCTATTCAGATGTAATCAGCCCATTAAATGGACCATTTTCATTCCCATAAATACGGATCTTTAGGGACATCCGTAGACACATTATTATCCATGATGGTCCTTGATAAACAGAAAATAACTGCGATAATGTAGCTGATCTCTGTCAGTGGGATAAATAAATGCAATGAAGTCATCACCCTGGAAGCATAGAACATTTTGCTTTGTAATCTGTAGTAAACGTAGCTACTGGGAGTATTTTAACCCAAACTGTGATCCTTTTTTAAACCTAACCTAAGCAAGTCGGTTTGGTGGCTAAACTCAACCACACACTCACTGAAAATGCAAGTTAACACTGAGAGAAAAACAAAACAAATGACACTTATGTAAAAAATATATACAAATATGATCCAAGACAGGACTCAAACTCAAGTCTGTCATGTGAGAGTCTGCTGACTTATGCCTCCAACATCCAAATATAGAATTTTGTACCTCTTTGCAAATGCAAAATTGCAGTTCGGCGACCGATAAATGGTTTGATAACCCACCTGCTGAGCCTAGAAGCTGGATGATGACCCTACTAGGCCATATGTATGGGAGTGATCAGCATTGATTATGGGCCTTTAATGGGTCGATAACGTCAAAACAGGTGAGCTTAACTGATTGTTGTCTGGTTGTAGCTTCATATTAAAAAATTAGTTTCATCAAGTCTAAGCAAGAATGCAGTGAAGATGATCAAGCTAAAAGTAGACCTCAAAGGAGTTAAACCCAACTCTCCTGAGTGAAAGTCTTCCAACTCATCCACTGCAGCAGCGCATCCTACTCTCACCATGGATTTGTTTTCTCTGTTTTACCTGCTCTGGGCAAGAAGGCCCGTGTTTGGTTATAAACCTTTGCCTAGAGCAGGTGCACAAGTCTAGTTTCCTTTCAAACCACTTCAAATAAACCATGCTGGAAGGTTATTATGGAATTTTTTTTGCCCAGTGATGCCAAAAAAATACCGCCTACTTCAGCTTTAAATGGTAAACGTGCTTTGATCTCAAGCTGCTGTTCAAGAACTTTGTCTAAAACTGGTGCGTTTTTTTATTTGAATCTGCAGCTCAAAGGAAAGTAAGCGAGATGACAAATCTGACAAGAGATTCAAAGCCGGCTTTTGCTACTTGAAGACTTTTGATACACTGACACATTTCTTTCAGTACGTTCAGTTTGATACGTTCCTCTTTCTCTGTCTCCAGGAAATGAATTGCAGTGGAACCGTTTGAATTGTTTAGTCGCATCACAAATGTGATCGCAGTCCTGGAAAGTCCTAAAGTGTCCTGATATAACCCCTTCTTTTGGGCTTTAAGAGGGCTGAGCAGGGCAGAATACCCAGCAGTGACTCGCTTCGATCCAGGCTCTTGTTGCAGATGAACGCTGATTGAACTCGGAGTTCTGAACTGGGCCAAAGAGAACAGGAAACGGGCTTCAGGCTGACACAGGCTGGTCATCATTATGTCAGGAGTAAGGTCAGAGCAGCTCTGTCTCTGACTTTGTGAGTGTCTGTGTGTCTGGTGGCCTCTGCGGACACTTCCACTGGCTATGACCAGTGTCGCCAATCAATGGCCTGACGAGTGCTGTGAACTCTGGAGACAGGCTGGCCGGAACCACAAGGAAACACTGCAGTCAGCACTCCTCTTGTACTCGTTTGCCATCTCTCTCTCTTCCTTAGGACTTAACCACACTGACTGAGCCGCCCTGTGTTTTATTACGACGCTGTTGTCGCACCACTGGTACTGGGTCACAGTGGTGCACAGTCAGTGTTTTGCTGCACTGGTAGCTACAAATTTTGTCATTTTTGTAATCTGTGTACACTGTCTTGGATGCATACTAGTGGAGGTACAGAAA